AAGGGATCAGTTATCAGGCATCAGAGAATAAAAAAATCATATCATTGAGTTTTCCACTATTTTATGAAGCTCCTCTCATATATATAAACATACACATTTTCCTTAAGATAGAAATATTACCTTACTATGTAAATATAGTTATAGATTATATTCTATAAATATATTTATATTTGTTTATATGGTGAGTTATGTTGTTTATGAGTGCATAAATATTTCTTGAATTATTTATTGATTCTGATATTAATTACAAGGAACCCTGATGGCAATGCGGGGTAGGCATTGGGCTGCTGACTACAAGGTTAACAGTTCAAAGCCACCAACAGCTCTGAGGGAGAATAAGGCTGTCTCTTCCTATAAAGATTGTCAAGTCCCAGAAACTCCACAGAGGGTCCCTGTGGATGGGAATTGACTAGATACAATGGATTGGGGTTGAGTTTATAATTAGCACATTCATAATTCTGTAAAGAAGATTAGAGCCCCTGCCTTCAAGGAAACTTGATTTTATTTCAATATAGAATTTTTCTACATAAACCCAAGAAGGCATGACTTACAAATTTCAATAAGAGTCATGGTAAACAGAGGCGCACTAGGAATTAGGGAAATGAAAAAAATCTTAAGAGAAAGTCTTAAGAAAAATCTTGTTTAAGGAGGTAGATGATATCTTTTTGAGAGATCCATAAAAGGATTCTAAGTGAGGATTAGAAGCCTAAGGAAAAGCCTTCAATGATCATGAGAAAGATGTGTTACAGCAGAGTATGGGCCGGACCCCTGGATCCCAGGGTATGTGTAGCAAAATTGTGATGTGAAGTTGGACAGAAGAATGAAGTCAGTTGTGGGAGGACACGTTGGATTTACGCTGATCTTCCCATCAGACTCAAGGAGACCCTTAGAGGGTCACCTGATAGTTTCTCTCGATCCTTAAGTTCTACAGATAGAACTGTCCCATAGGGTTTCCAAGGATACCAATTTTGTGAAAGCACGCTGCCTCTTTTTCGCCTAATGAGGGGCTGATGGATTTCAGTTGCCCACTTTGGGGTTAGTAGCTCAATGCTTAAGCTACTACACTACTGTGCCTCTTTCTCTGATATGCAGTGAGACACAATACTATTAGGAGTGATCCAGGAATTTCATGGTAGAGTGGAATGAGTAGAATAAGCCGATCTGCTTTGGAGACTAGCTTGGGCCACATGGGTGAATATGGGTCCTTCAATCCTCAAAACCTTCCTTGTTCATAACAGCTATGAGTTATTCCATAACTCAAACTAGAAAGTATATAAAAAGTGCTCTATAGTTTGTGAACTGTAGTCCAATTGAGGTATTATTTGTGGTCTACAGTGAATAGATCCCTGGTAGTTGCTAACTGCAAGGTCATCAGTTCAAAGTCACCAGCTCCTCCATGGGAGAAAAGTAGATTTTCTATTCCTGTGAAAAATTAGAGTCTTGGAAACTCGCAGAGGGAGTTCCACCCCGTCTTATAGGGTGTCTGTGAGTTGGCATTGACTTAATGACAGTAGTAAAGAACTACACTCTACACCTGCTCAATATTTAGTAAATGTTTTAACTGGTGTGATGAAAACAATTCTTTTGAAAAGATTCATTTTGTACCAGTACAGAGAAAATTATCATAATGAGAGAGAATGCACTAATATAAGTTTACAAGTGATTATTATTTATTGAAGATATACTGGTAATTTTTTATAATAGTTTTTAAATGCTCTGTTGTGTCATCAAACGTCAAATATACTATAATAAGTAAACATTTTTCTTCATTCAACAAGGATTTCTTAAATAGTTACTTTATGCCCAGCAGCATTAGGTAAGGAAGCTCATGACCCCACTCTCATGTCATGTTTTGGCAATGTGAGACAAAGCATCCACATAATCGTTTTAATTTGTGAGTGCTGTATCTACTGCATGTTACGGAAGATTAAGTAGTGAGCGTGAGGGTCTGGGGAAATGGATAGAGTGGTTGAAGGGAGAAAGGAAAATGTAGCATTGTTTTGGGGAGTGCCAAAGTAGATAAACTTAGATGTTGTAGAACTTATTTATTTATTTTATTGTAATAAATCATTTTATATAACAATCATTTTTATAACAATCCATACATCCACTATATCAAGTACATGTGTACATTTGTTGCCATCATCCTTTTCAAAGCATTTTCTTTCTACTTGAGCCCCTGGTATCAGCTTTATATAACAATCATTTTTATAACAATCCATACATCCACTATATCAAGTACATGTGTACATTTGTTGCCATCATCCTTTTCAAAGCATTTTCTTTCTACTTGAGCCCCTGGTATCAGCTCCTCTTTTCTTTTTCCTCCCTCCCTCATGGCCACCCTCATGAAACTTTGATAAATTATAAATTAATATTGTTTTCATATCTTACACCGTCCACCGTCTCCCTTCACCCATGTTTCTGTTGTTTGTCATGCTTGAGGGATGGGTTTTATATGCCTATCATTGTGATCAGTTTCCCATTTCTCCTCCCACTTTCTCTCTTCCCTCATGGTTTGCTACTCCCATTATTGTTCCTGAGGGGTTTATCTGCCCTGTATTCCCTATATAGAGCTCTTATCTGCACAGTGTATATGCTCTGGTTTAGCAGGACTCATAAGGCAGAACTGAGACCATAGTAGTGGCAGGGTGGGAGGAAGCATCAAAGAACTAGAGGAATGTCCTGTGTGTCATCAGTGCTATTCTGCACTGGCTTGTCTCTTCCTGTGATCCTTCTGTGAAGGGATGTCCAACTGTCTATAGATGGGCTTTGGGTCTCCACTCCAGCCCCGCTTGTTCACATCAATAAATATGATTGTTTATTTCGGGTCTTTGATGCTGATAACCTGAGCCTATCGACACCTCATGATCACACAGGCTGGTGTGCTTCTTGCATGTGGGCTTTGTTGCTTCCCAGCTAGATGGCTGTTTGTTTATCTTCAAGCCTTTAAGACCACAGACACTGTATCTTTTAACAGCCAAGCACCATCAACTTTCTTCACCATATT